CAGATCAAATTATAATATTGTACCCCAGCCTAATTCACACGAACCATGATAGGTAAGACTTGCAGATCAAATTATGATATTATTTAATAGATAATTACTGAGGCACGCAGCATTCGGGCTACGCCCTCAGCTGCCTGCATTATACCTACGAATGCTGCGTGCCGAAGTGATTATCTAGTATAATTATCGTTCTTATCAAAATCCAATTGTTTTCTTTCTAGCTTGTTTATCATAGAAACAAAGCCAATAATAAATGAACTAAATATGTCTGATTTTCCTCTATGCATTTGTTGGGATAATGCAGACTGAAAACAATGGATTTTGATAAGATCAGTAATTATACCCRGCCTATTTCAAAAATATATACACTGTAGTAGTCAAAACAAAGAGAAAATACAAATGTAATTATTTTTGAAAGAGAGTACTAAAAGGGATGATGCTTCAGCCTACCATAGCAGAGGAAAAGTGGTAAAAAATGATAGTTCTTTCTAATGGTCATTAGACCTCCTCAGCTCAGGCATATTGTTTTCCCGTTTCAGACCATGTATCTTCCCTAGAGTATCTTTTATTTGTTTGACGCTTGCACTTAATTGCACATGAGAAGACACATGAATATTGATACAACTCAAACAAAGAATCTTATTCTGAAGGGAATGATACATGGTCTGAAATGGGAAAACATTAGGCCCAAGCAGAGGAGGTCTGTTAGCTATCAGTTCACCCTGATACAGCCTATAGGCTGATTTGTGTCAGAGCTCATGTATGGGCTGATTTTAGATTGATTGTTTTCCAACCCTTTACCCTTTGAATAAATTGCATATACAGAAATTCAAGCTAAAAGACAAGAACGTAAACGGCGTAGTCACTGTATTTCTCCATACAGTTCTCTTCTCTTAGAACCTGAGGTAAGAGATCTTTCTATCAAAAGTCGTGTGTGACAGACAGACAAACCAATCAGAAAGGCATGTATCACATAGATGGACAGACAGACAAACCCCTGGGAGGAACATAGACAAATAGCAGACAGACAGATAAACAGACAGGCAGGCAGGCAGGAAGACCAATGAGAGACGTCAGTATGTAGATAGGTAGATGGACAGACAGACAAACCCCTGGGAGGAACATAGACAGATAGCAGACAGACAGATAAACATGCAGGCAGGCAGGCAGACCAATGAGAGACATCAGTATGTAGATAGGTAGATGGACAGACAGACAAACCAATGAGAGGAACATAGACAGATAACAGACAGACAAACATACAGCGGACAGGCAGGCAGACAGACCAATGAGACATCAGTATGTAGATAGGTAGATGGACAGACAGACAAACCCCTGAGAGGAACGTATAGACAGATAGCAGACAGACCCACAAACATACAGACAGACAAGCAGGCAGACAGACAGACAGACCAATGAAAGACGTCAGTATAGATAGGTAGATGGACAGACAGACAAACCAATAAAAGAACCAACATATCTGAGAAAATACTTATATGACAACCTTTGAAATAAAGAGATTGTTGTAATTGGCTTTGGCTTAGGCTTTGGTCCCAGTTAGTGTGTTCCCAGTACACTTTTATAATTGAATACCGAGAAGAGACAAAATTCAGGATTTAAAAAAACATTATATTATACTACGGATCTCACTGAACTGTGGCGACACATCAAAAATTTGTCTCACTACCACGCCCAAAGTTGTCTACTGACATGCCTACTTTTGTCACTGTCTCGGATCTAGCACATTACTTGTAAGGTATTGAAAAGATGGAACGCACTGCTGTAACAAAAGTAGGCATGTCAGAGACGAATTAGGGTGTGGTAGCTAGACAAATTTTTGACGTGTCGCCATAGTTCGGTGAGATCCGTAGTAACTCGTTCCACTTTGTTAAATTTAGTTTCGCTCACAACCACTGAAATATTGACTCATAATCACTGCTTGCTCGACCTATCAAAGTCTGCAAAACTCTACATCCTCTACTTTCCCATACCCATAACACTTTGTGGTTTTAGAGGGTAACCAGAAGGAGAAACCGCACTTATTTTGCTGAAGGCTGATCAGACAATGTTGAAAATACCTTGTTTGATATATATTTGAATTATGAAGAAGTTAAAAAAAGAAAACAGAAAAGGATAGAAGCTTGAAGAAGTTTAGTTGAGAGTAAATTTTAAACATTTTCTCGCAAGTCAATACATTTTCTTTAACACCAAACCTCTTGATGTTCTGTATGCACAAAATTAACTCGAAATAAACTGATAATCAGTATTGTACGGATAAAAGCAGGTATAGTGTATATTCAATTGAAGAATGTTTTGATTTCGGAAAGTTGTTTGATTGGTTGCCCATCATGAAGCAAAGCATTATGGCTATGGGAAAGTAGACAATAATCAAGTCTAAAGTGTTACAAAAGCCATCATACCATGACCTACTTAGTATGCGTAATCTCTCATGCATGCTGATTGAACCAATAGGAAATATGGTCACTCAATCAAAACCAACTCTTTGGTCCTATATACTCACTAGAATATTCTAAGTCACAACTCTTAGGTCTCTCTATATATTGCCTTCATTGATTTTTTACTGATGGGATGAAGCAGGGATAAAACTTAATAGATGCTTGACATGTATAACTGAAATCACAAATCACAGTAAGTATTTATAGCTTTGAAATTTCCCATAGATTAATTGTATGCTTGGTTAAAAAGCAAAGGAAATACTTTAGAGGTTTTTAAAAGGATGGATAGTTAAGTATTTTGGATGCAAAGCTTTCTTGAAGTTTATTTATTTGTTATTCAATATTGCATGAAATAAACTGTAACTTAACTTTAATCAAACTAAATTTTATTAACTAAAATTTGAAATTTTATGCTTTGTCAACTATTCTTGAAGTTACATTATATTAGATACAATCCAGCCATTAGAAAGATAAGAAATTATATATGCACTTCAGTGCTAAACCTTTTAATAATTTGATTCAATATTGTTTTGATCTCATTAAAGAGCAAAACCATGTGCTGTCAGCTCAACAACCTACATTTTTTATCTAATCTCAAGCTTACTTAAAGTCTTATATCAATGCTATGATTTTATCTTTATATATTTTGAACTTTAAGGATTTACAATTCAATTATTTTTGAAGTTTCATATACATATACAATCCAACCATTACAAAGATAAATATCTGTACAATGCTAATATTTAAAAAAAAGTGATTAAATATATTGATTTGATCTCATTTGATCTACTTTTATCTCACCTCAAGCTTACTTAAAGTCTTATAATGATGCTATGATGTTRTTGCATTGAGGAACCATTAATTCTATGCTTTAATGAATGCACTCAATATAACCTAGATTTATTATCTACAGTCTTTATCCTCAAGCTTAATTAAAGCCTTATTTTGATGCTCATTAGGATTTTATCACATAACCTCCAAAACTTATCATTAAACCTTTATAAATTTAGTTGAATACCATTGAACTGGGAAAATTATTTTTATCTTGGAGTTATATTTACTAATTAATGTCATTCAGTTAGGGCCTCCTATTGAAAGTGAGACAATTATTTTAAATGTTTGGCTTGAGTGAATTGGGACTCTGCTGTCAAATAAATGGTAAAATATAGCTTTTTAGTCACTCAATATTAACTTTGCATAAATAAGCAGAGCAAATTAGACTGGCTCTCTGGCTCTCTGTCTGTCTGTCTGTCTTGTCTGTCTGTTTGTCCAAAAGAGTGAAAAGTCAATCCAACTATTTTATCATTTTTTAAATTTATTATTATTACTTTAAAGGTACAATTCAGAGTAAATTATTTGGGGTAATAGAGTATCTGCAATAAAATGCAAATAAAAATACATCAATATTGAAATTGGAAGCAATTAACACACTTAAAAGCACAGTGTTTTTATTTTATATTATAAGTAGTTTATAGTGCTAGGCTAGTATTAATTCAGAGTATTTATGTTATTCAAAAACTTTAATTTCTTAGATTCCTCCCCCCCCCCCCCCCTCACCCCAGCTTGCAAAGCTGATTTAATGATACACATTTTTTAATCTCATTTTTCTGTTTTATTGTTTATAGCCAAAGAAACTTAATAATCGTTTGATAATGCTGCCTGTCAAGCGAGGAAGGGGGAAAAGTATGTATTAACCATTGCTTTTCTTTATGGGCCTTTTTCACACGGCAGCCATATTGGTTTTGAACAATAGATTCCACCATGCATAGCCTATTATTCATGTACTTGAGAATAAATTTATGAGGTTTGAACAAAGGATTTTATTCTCATGAGAATAAACATGGCCATTGTGTGATAATGGCCCATACATTGGTCACCCTGTGGCTGTTCTCTCTACATACACATCAGTCACCATGTTTGTGGTGAACACTTCCCATATACATTGGTCACCCTGTGGTGTGCACATCCCATATACATAGGTCACCCTGTGGTGTGCACATGCCATATACATTGGTCACTCTATGGTGTGAACTTTCCCCTATACATTGGTCACCCTGTGTTGTGAACTTTCCCATATACATTGGTCACCCTGTGGTGTGAACTTTCCCCTATACATTGGTCACCCTGTGGTGTGAATTTTCCTATATACATTGGTCACCCTGTGGTGTGAACTTTCCCATATACATTGGTCACCCTGTGGTGTGAACTT